GGGCAACATTATATGTGTTTAAAATTTAAACCAGGGTTGAGAATACAAATCAAGACGATTTAAATTGTGAACTAAATCACAAAACTTTTACCAAAATGATCTAAAACAAACCTTTTCCACAAAAATATATTTTTGTTTAATGAATGTTGGCGATTATATTTTTCTCATGTGATTTTATTTTGTATTCAATCAAAGGAGTCATCAAGCAAGGACAATTTGCAGTAGTCTGAATGCTAATATTAAAAAAGAAAAACATCGTTGCTGCTTTCCCCTTGCCTTCGTTTCTCAGCTATGTGACACCGTATGCAAGCAAATCAAAACCTGAAGGAAATTAACAGCAAAGCATGCGTGCATACACACGTACACAAGTCGGTAGAGGGAAAGGGAGAGAGAGAAAGGGAGAAGAGACTGAAAGAAAGACAGGCACAGAGAAACAAACTGAGTTATGTTTCTAAGATCGATCTTGCATTGGCCAATATATTTGTTTTGTCTTACACGAGAGTTCCGTTTCTTTATGAAATTATAGCGTGGTACCACCACTTTCCGGACATGAAAACAAAAAGGCACGTCATTGTCATTAGGCACCTCGCGAGTTGTGCTCGTGTTCAAGGGATACCATTCTACGGTTGTGGGGATATTTTTTGTTGCATTGTTTGTTTTATCCAGTGGCCGTTACTATGCTTTCTGGAAGCGGCCTCAGAAGCAATGACAACACCGGCACCGTGTGTACGAATCTGATGGAAAGCAATTTGGCTGGAAGCAGCTGTTTCCACGGGTTTTCAGAGACGTGCAATATAATCCTAGAAATTAACATACAAAATGCGAGGCAGGGGTAAGTTTTTAATTGCCGCGTGTTCAAGAAGAGAATCCTATTTTGATATGCGGAATTATTACAGAAAAAAAATCTCTGTAGCAAGACCAAAAAAGGAAAAGAAACCAGCATATGAACATCAAAATGTTGAAAGTTCACTAGCTCGCCTGCACCTTGTCTGTTATTTCTAGTGAAAAAAAGCTGCTTTTGTTGTAGTATTGGATGGTTTATATCAGGAATTAAGTGATCTGAATTAAATGGTACTTCACTGTATAATTAAACTGTTTGCAGTGAAATTTTCTTCTCTGATTTCAATGGTTGGTTCGATTGAAGAATCAGTTTGCCCTGTTTATAAACGCAACTAGAAAAATAATGGCACTTTTTTAGGTAAAGGGATCTAAATAATATAAATCGAAACTAAATCCAATAAATATGATGTAAATAAAATAAGTGCGATGTACATAAATAATGTGATTTCAATGAAGTAAATCTGTTTTAAAGCAAATAATTCCAAGCGCTTCGATTTATGCCTGGCGAATTATCCGGGTTTCGATTATTCTGTAACGTCATAACTAGCTAAACATTGATTTTCAAAAGAAAATGTATGCATTCATCTAGCTAAGATTTTTTTTTTACTTTAATCTTTAATTTTTTATTGATATGATTATCTAGGATTACGGATTTAGTTTTTCCTCGTTCATATATTTTTTTTTTATTTATTGTACGGCCCCCGAAACAGCGACAGATCCCCAAACTTGACCGTTTTGGGGACCCCTGGTTTAGGTTTTGACCCAATTCGCGATATTTATATTCGATTTGTTTCTCTAAGTGAAACCAGGTTCGATAGCACTAACATTTGCAATCGCCAATTTGTAATGTATGCTCTAATGAACCTATTTTGTAGACAGGAGGGAAAGCTGCCAAGCAATGTATTATATGTCACTGTACTCGATATGACAAAAAAGAAAATACATTACTATAGTATTTAAAGATGCACAACCAGACACGGAAAAGGAAAGTAGAAAGAGACACAGCGCTGACTTACAACTGAACTTAATTATTTCCGTAGTCACATAGTATGTATAACGGATGTCAACAAAACAATAAGCCAATGAAGAAGAACAGATACAGATTGTTCAAAGGTTAAAATATTGTTATATCGCTCATCGACAGCAATACAAACTGCTCCCCATAGGTCGAGTAACCGTAAGTTCCGTATTTTTCAGTAACACAGAGCGAGTGCTGACACACTGCAGTTCCAATCTACAAATTTCTCGGGCCTCAAGTACCTCCCGCGTAACCTTGTCGCTGTTTTTGTTTGGTACGTTGCAGTCAGTGAAGAAGGGGGGGGGGGGGGGGGGCCACAACCACAATCGTTAATGTGCACACCGAGATACCCTGATATTACAGTGTCTATACGTTGTATCGAGGTCCCCTCAAACGTCGTCAGGTAATAAAATTCAGTTGTAAGTTAGCGCTGTGTTTCTTTCTATCATCCTTGTTCGTGTCTCGTCGCGCTTTTTCAAATATTGAATTATCAACTGGCCCAACTTTCAACCCTTGTCAACAACTATACCATATACAAGGTGTTTAACTTAAATTTGAACAGATTTTAGTTAAAACATAAAAAACAGCTATTCGGGTGCCGTATTCACCCATTTATAAGGCTCGGTGGACATAAGATAAAATAATAACCATCACGGGAAGTTGTTAATTGTTTTTACTGTATCTGGGTGGCGTTGCAACTGCGAGATGATCCGCCATTTTCTCCTTCGCACTGTCTTTCTTATGTTGTAGTATCTGACTTCCGTGCGCTAACGTAAGCGCTAAATTTAGCGATAGCCTGAGCAAAAAATTGCGTAAGTTATTCTAAAACTCCGTATTCAATTATGAACGTATTTCATAGTTCGCCCATTTTCGCCATTACGCGCGAAAAGAGCATAGCAAGCCCTGCTCACAATTGCGCTTAAGAGTAAAGTAGTCGTTTCAATCGCGCCTATATTATCTTAACTGCATAGCACAACGGCGCACCCTCGGTGAGTGCACCTACGGCACAGTGCCAAAATGGTGACGATATGACTGAAACGACTACAGTTACTCTTCTAAGCGTCATTTTGGGCAGGGCTTCGGGCGCCCCTTTCGCCCTTAACTTTAAATTCGGGAAGGATACGCGAAAGATGATCCATTAATTAATATCTAAAAACAAAAACACACCACCTTTTCGCAAATGTTTTTATGTGTGTGGCCTCTTATAGTAGATGCCATCAATATTGTGATTCCAACATCTCCTATAAAATCAATAATTAAAAATTTGACAGATTTGGGTGAATTAGCCAACTTACCGCGGCGGTAATTTCCTTATCTAATTCTCCACCAAGCTTGAGAAGTAAGTGGGGAGACGACATTTGATCTCTCACCCTTTTTATCAAAGCAATCTGATGGTACTAATACTAAACATCATATATTGATATTATTTTCAAAGTTTTCTGACTCCAGAAATATTTTAGGAAGATCACTTAATGTTTTCCGATTATACAAAAGTCACCAGTTCTCCCGCTAACTCCTCACACGTACTTAAGTTACCCGTTTTGCTACGATCTGTTGCCCATATTTTCCAGCGGGAGTGCACTTTATTTGAAGTTCCGCTACAGAAACCCCATCTCGTTTCGTAAGTCCCGAATTATCGTGGCTGCTCGGAGATCACGCTTCTTACGATCTCCAGTTTCATCTCCTCATCATGTCATAATCCGATTGCCTTACCTTTTTACGTGAAGCTCATGATAATAGAGCAGCGAAGCAGCAAGAAAACCTCGGAACCTGCAGGTAGATATGCCGGACGCACTTAGCATGCTTAGCTTGTGCCGTCCATAGCAGTTCGCGGAAGGATAAGGAAATGGTTTCTGCTAGTCCCTCGTTAACTGGAACGTCTGCCTCTGAATGACGAAAGCAAAATGAAAACTGTGGTTTGGGGCGACGTTAATGCACAAAGAAAAATCTAATTTATGCCTGAGATCGGCGCTCTTGCAGGGTGCAGTTGGTGATAACTTTTGCTTCGGAAAAACCGCTTTCTCTTCCAGTTTTTTTTTTTATTTATTTATTTTCTTTTGGTTTGAGTCGATATCGAATTAGAGGCGGGGATTTGTAAGGATATTAGGTCCGCGAAGCGGCTTTCGCAGTCGGCTGTCTTGCAACATTGCAATGAATTTACCGAAGGTCTCTGGTCAAACTGGAACGCGGGAGAATTTTTTATGTTTACTTTTTTGCTTCGATTTTTTTTTCTCGACGGTATACGTTTATTTCCTGTTTCCACCATTCATGATTCCGCTTTTCTGTTGAAGTTACAAGCTCTACAGCTGTCTGAGCTTGTGTAATGACGTAGCGCAAATTTTGGGGAGGGTGTTAGGAGTATGTATCCCTTTCTATTCATTTTGATTATGCTGATATGCGACAATTCAAATTCAAAGCGTTTTCTAAGTTTACTGATACACTTGGTAAGGATATCTCGCTCAACCGGCGATTCATGATAATTTTCGGTATCGCATTGCCAGAACGTTGAAATACTTTAATGCCTTCCGGGTGAGGTACAAATACTATCTCTGTATGATAGATTAGTTGAGCAATATCTTGAGTGTGCAAACTAGTTTTATATTATCTGCCATCCTCTTGAGGCTGCTGAAGGGGTGAGAGGAAACATTTATTGCCTAGCACATTTGAACCCTCTGATGGTTTATATTTTTCAGTTAAATGACATTTCAGATTTATTCGGCAGTTACACTTCCAGCAACCGTTGATGTTCCTCCTGTAAATCTAAGCCAAGTCGGGATATGCAATATGGTGTAACTGAGAGTTTTGACTTCCTTAACAATGGCGACCCTTCAAGCAATTAATGTGTCATCAGAAGCACACCTCTTAGTCCTGCGAGTGGCCACAATCGTTGTTAATTCAGTGCAGCCTTAATTCTTGTCATCAGGTGATGAAGCTTGTGATTATCAGTAAGCTCTCATATGTCACTGTAAGAGCTAGTTACTAAGTGTCAAGACTGGCTTCACCACTTAATTGTGCATTCTATACACTCGACTGCACCGTGCTTTAATAAACCATTTGTTGTACATTTTCATCGAGAATCACCTCATTACACGTGGGAGTGCCAGTAAAGAAACTAAGTAATCACACAGCACAACACAAAAAATGGGGAAATGAAACTTTTTTTTATTGACGGCTGAAGTTGGGCATGGGAAGATTTAACGTACAAAAGTGTATGAAAATCCTACATATTTTACAAGACCGCCTCTATTTCCTTTAATGTATTCAATACTTTTTAAGAAATTCCTGATTACCATTTCCCCGCAAAAAACAGTTAAAGACGACAATAAAAAAAAAGGCAGTTCAGCTGGAAGTCGGAAAACGAGGGGAGAGATGACTGGAGGCTGAAGAGCGCTGGTTCAGGTCGGTCCAGCTGTCGGGATTTGGATCACAACTTGCTTTGAGAACTGTGGATGGAAAACAAAAGGATATGCGAAATTAGCGGGACAATAGTAGATTAAAAAAAAAAACAGTCGAAAACGCGACAATCTTTGTATACTTGCAATGGTAGCCCAACGCGTAACAGATGTTAAACGTCTTATTCTGCTACTAGTTGCGCACGACAACCGTTCATAGTCTTCCATTTATGCTTTTTATTGCAAAAAGTATAAATGGCCGCATGAAGCATTATTAAATAGATTCGCTTTTTTATTTCTTCTATTCATTTTTTTAGTGACTGTAGAAACTAATGAATCTACTACGTCGTTTGGCACATGTTTGAGATAACCCGCTGAAATGATTGGCACAAAGCTTGCGTGTTATGGTGCTGCCCGACATACGCCATTCACTACGCGCATCATTGTTTAAAAAACTCAATCGCACACCAAATTCAATGAAACAAACCTGATAGCAATTACGTTGTTAATGGTCCTGTATCGTTCCAAATAAAATGACGGCTACCCTATGTTTCAACTTCGCAAAGACTAATCACACAATAACTTTATCAGAAAAAAAAACGAGGATGCTTAATACATGGACGGGGTGCCGCATACCTTTAGATTAGCTAGAGGCTGTCCGAAGTTGCAGAACGACCTGCTGCTTAACCCTGCTGGGCTCCCTGTGGGTGGGCCTCGGCGGCCTGAGCGATCTGGATGCCACAGATCTGGGAGATGTGGTAGTCCATGCAGGCCTGGTACAGCTGAACCTGGGCCACGAAGTTCTTGGCGAACTTCTCCTCGGCCTCCTTCTTGCACTCGTCGTGCTTGGACAGGACCTGGGGCTCAACATCCTTGGCGAGCTTCTTGTTCAGGATCTCGGTCCTGGCACGGTCGAATCGGTACTGGCCGTTGCTGTTGAACTGCAGGCCAGACATGATGCGCACGGTTAAGGACTAAATTCGCTCCCTCTCTCACGCAGGTTTCATCTGTTCCAAACTTATTACCACTATCCAGAGGATATAGTAGGTTTATGAGCATATCTTTTATGATATGTCGGCAATTTTAATAAATGGGCTCTTTTGCTTTGTTTGTTGCATTGGGTCAGTCAAATTTAAGTTATATTGTTGACTGATGGAAGGTTAGACTAAAACATACGTAATGTTTTACGTTACGTTGACTTATGAAAAAATATTGTTAGAAATGTGTTGATAATTATTCTAAATTGTGGCTACAAAAATTGAGCAACATCTCTGATGGATTTGAATTTGTTGTGTATAGTAAAGTTTTGTCTATTGCAAAGGACTAGTTATTTATCTGGAATCGTGTTACCATAAACATGTCGCTGGACGATGAGACATATCTTAAAACTTACCCATCCCTCGGTCTTGAGAGCGCAGGTGGTGACGTCCTGACGGTGCTGCTGGATGACAGTCTGTAAAAAAGAAATATAATTTCAAGTTCAGTACTGGAAATGCATCTGCGCAGTCATTAAGTTTTTTTTTTTCTTTTTGTATTCCCTTGTAATCCGATATGTAAAAATTTCAAAGAAAGAACTCGTGTCCTTACGTCGTTGGCGGTGTCAACGTCTGGAAGGGGCACCTTGTCCAGGCATTGGTCGATGACTAGGGCCTTCTGTTGCTGTTGTGGAGAAAGCAAAAAGAATTCAGAATTGGTGTCCCAATACAGCGGCTAGTACCATCTTTGTACACTTTCAACTTGGCTACTATTCTGTTATCATTCTACAAGGGCACCGGACGTTGCTGTTCGGGCCGCAATTATTCGTTACGGTATCTTGTTCATGGTCTACGTCTAAGATCCTTGAATTAGCCGGTTCGTATTTGCATCGACGTTTTATGTCCTGTCTTGATCGTTGCTTGATATGACACAAATATTATTTTGTTTGTTACTTTTTGCATAATTATTTTGTTTCCTAGCCTTCGAAGTCTCGCGGAATACGGCCTTATTACGTTAAACGAATACCTTTCTGCCTACTTTCACTAGTTCTTTCATACAAAGTTTCTTTTTAAGACAGACCTGCTGAATAACTTTCGCAGTATCGTCAGGGTAGGGAATGTACACAAGTATCGTTAACAACAAGGCGTCGCGAACATACTAAATTTAAATAAGTGATCCTATATTGACCCATTCTCACCCTCTCGTTCTCAGATGGCTGAAGCTGTGGGCACTTTCCCCAGTTGATTTGCTGCAAAGGCAAAAAAACAAAACAAAACAGAGTCAGTAATGATATGGTTATGCGATTCAAATCTGAGACAAAAACTAGGATTGTTTCCTAGCCCCCCAACATCACACCCGACGACATATCATCGTTCCAACAGATCGTAAGGCTCCCTCAAGGACGATCGTGAAAGTCGTCGTGCCTTTATCCCGAAGCGCCGATCCCGCTACCGGCCTTCTGACACGTCATCCATCTCGGCGAGCCCTGCCGTTCCCCCGCGCTTCCTATCGGTAGCCCCAGCTGAACAAAGCGGCGCTAATCGAGGCAGCACATCTAGCCCATCAAGGCGAGGCACAGCCCTCCCATCCGCCCCCAAATCGGTGTCATCGGCTGAGGCACGAGCGTCACAGGGTGCTCCATCGCTCGACCCACATCTTCATAAGGTTACGTTTTCAGGTGCCCGGCTTGCTCGCCGAGACAAAGAGCTTGACGCCCTGGGGCCACCGACCGGCGAGAGTGTTCGGAATGCTTCGGGAGGCCCGCTGCATTCCCGCCTCATTGCGAAGACGTCCTCCTGTTAATCCCCCCGTCCCTCCTTCTGCATGATATGGCGATCTGGATGGCCGATAGAGCACGACCCGCCACTCTCGACGTCCCTCTTGCCAGTCGAGTCCTCTCAATAAACAATAAATCGGAGGCCAGTTCGTCTAGCTTTTGTCTCTTTTTTTTTCCTAGAGGCTTCGAGGAAAAGTCGGCAGGGAGGCGGCCGAGATATCGGAAGCGAGGCCTACTGCTCTCGTTGTTGGGATGCAGGCGGCGGCAGCGCTAAGCCTGACGTGGCCTGCTGCTGCGTTTCCCTGCCCCGAGAACCGGTCCTTCTCGAAAAAGTAAAACCCGGAGCTACGCCGATACCATCTTTTCGTCTTCTTCGAAATGTGGATCACGACGTCGCTCCTTGCCATCGCGGCACGGATGAGTAGGGTGGGTGGGATGCGACGGCTCTTTGCTTTTCTCCATATTGCTTCGCGGTCGACTGCTTTAGAGGGAGCCCCTTGTGACGGTGGCTGCAGCGACTTACAAAGCCTTAGGGGCATATCGACTGGCTGTTCGCTTTCGAGATACTGACAGTCTTACGCTAGGCGTGTTCAGTGATATGGGAATCGCCAGCCCCTAGTTAGTGGGAGTATCTTGAAGCTCCTTCTTTGAGGTCGCTTGAAGTCTTTGAACTCGAAATATATGAAAATGCTCGCTAGCGTTATCTTTTGGATTGGACACTTCATTGTGCGATGATGTGTCACTTTTTTTTTTTAATGAATTTTCCATTTATATTTTCTGTCCCAGTTTCTGAAGTGGGCTTACTCTTATATAGAAAACGCTCTTCGAGCTTTAGGCGGAATTATCCAAAACCCTTAGGTCGCCGGACATAGTAAATCTTGAATAGGACTACACGTCTGTTTTTTTTTTGTTTTTTTTTTTCTCTCTTTTTTTAAAGTGTTTCTATTGTTAGCTGGTTAGTTGCTTTGAATAAAGTATTTCAGTATGATTTTGGAGTCTATTTCGTTAGCTTAAGGGCTTTATTGCACTTCTGCACTGCTGCCTGCCGTAGGAATCATAGAGGCATCGGACATGTCATTACTGAGCGTCGAAGCGTCGAATAACCTAAAACAGCCCGTTATAAAGCGAGGGAAAAGTAGTGAATTGAAGAAACCAAGAAGGAAGACATAATTCCGTGTTTCGCGGTTTGAAAGTTTTGTTGCCTGTCGAGAAAAGGGAAACGGAAAAAATGAACAGAGGGAGGCAATTCTTGTACAGTTAACTTTGCACTTAAAAATAAAAAGAGAACAAAAAGAAGGAAGGATCGTTTATGCAGAGGGGGCATTGTATTCTGAAAAGGGCTCGGCTATTTATAGCCTAACCGGACCGACAAGGGGGAGAGTCCGAACACGCGTCTGGCCACTGGGAAAGCGGAGCCGAAAGGGGGGAAGCGTAAGCTTTGACACGCGGTGACCTCCTAAAGGAAGTATCGTCTGCCACCGTCCGAATCGTGATTGGAAAGCAAACCGAACAGGATCCCACTTCCGGAACTTTATCGCGATCTCTGAGTCGCTCTTTCTTGTCTTTTGCAAGGCTCCCTTCCTTTCTCCGCTTCCTTCTTTCCCCCCTCCCCCAGCGTTTCGCTTTCTGTCCGGGAGTCGGGTCGGACTTGGCATTCGTAACGAGACTTGGGTGTCTCGACACTCTCGATGAAAAAGAACGGGTGCCTGCCTGGCGAAGGCAGGGCGACTGGTGGGACAATCTCCGTGGTCGCTCTCTGGAGAATTGCCAAAATGCCGGCTCGATACGCGAGATAATTGGGTGCGGAAAACCGGATGGAGAGACGGCACTCCGTTAGACCCAGTCGTGAGTTGCACATTGCCAGCGCCCTTAGGCGACTCGGAGCACTGCTTCCGGATCCCTCACTCCGCGTTGTCAGACAGAATATCTTAGCAGTCGTGAAGTTCTCAGTGTAGCTTGTTTTGTAAGATCACAGTCTTCAGAGCAATCTTGAATGCAATACTTTTAGTTCGTGTTGCGATCCTGACGACCCAATAATTGCTGGTTTCAAATAGGCCATTACCATGACCCTTGGGTTACGTACACTTTACTTCGATTAGTTAATTGGTTAAATATAGTTAGGGGTGACCTTAAGACAGTAAACAATGAATTGGATCAGAAAGTAATCAGTACTTGAGCATCAATGTATGACCAGCCTAAGAACGAGTGACACCTACTTGAAAATAAGTGCCAAGTCAAGCACTGTATAGCTGAACGATATACGTTCTTTCCATAGGGAGACCACTCCAACAAAAGTAGTGATTGATGAGTTCGGTAGCGATAACGGACAGACAAGAGTGAGTAGGAAATCCAAGAATTCTAGGAGGTCTAGGCCTCTGTAAGAGATCGAAGACGAGTGAGTCCAATGCGCGTCTAGGGCATCCCCCGTATCCATTGCTTGGCCCACAGGACTCGGACGCAGCGTGCGGTGAGGGGCCCGACGTGCTCCCAAGGCAGGGTTCGAACCCCGAGTGACTTACCGGGCGGGGGGGAACGCCGGCCTGGGTCTGGGCTGCGGCGTCGAGGTCCTTGCCGCCGGCTGGGATAGCGAAAGCCGAGCCCACACAGAGGAGGACAGCCACGGACACCTTGAATGCCACCATGTTTGCGCACCCGCTCTCGTTTCCTTGCTCCAAGGAGAGTTGTTAGTCAAGAGTAGCGATGTGGCGAGCCCGCGGCGCCGCTTTTATAGGCGGGGGCCGCTCCGCTGGGATCCAGGCTAGTCCGGACAACTTCCCCGCCCCGAGCACGCTCCGTAGGCCATTGGTGCCGGCTGGCTTTCCCCCGCGACTTGCCCTCTCCCCCGCCGACGCTCTCGCCACGCAGGTGGGCAAAAAAGGGGTCCCGTATTTTCAAGGTCCAGCGGGGCAGCGTTCCTGGAAGGCGCCTGCCCAGCGCCTCTGGGATGCTGCCCCAGAGGTTGCGTCATTTCGAGGAAAAAACGTTGCCCGCTTTCGTCTACGACAAGCTAGCGGAGGCGATCAGCTGGTCCTCCCATCACGTCCGCCTTGGGCAGCCAGCACCCCCAGAGCCGCTCTTCTTCCAAGCACTCGCTCGACCGATGACTGCCTGGGAACCCTGAGCTGACCTTGAGCGTGTGCCGACCATTGTTTTTCTCGGATGTAAATAAGTTTTGCAGAAGCTAGCCCAACTTCGTCTAGTTTCGACGGGAGATGTAAGCTTAATCTATTCCGTTCGGATTACTCCGCTCCGAAGGCGCCACGAGGGTTGTGAGGGCGACCGCCGGCTGTGGGTGCTCATGTTGTTTTTCTGATATTCTTTCTGGAAACTCGTGCTCAGATGTCCCCACTGAAACATCGATTAAGCTCGATGCCATTGGACACGAATAAAAAAAAAAAGCAGAAAGCAGCCTAACCTTGCTGAAGGGAACTGACATCTCACCTGTCTGTCTTCAGCGAAGAAACTGGGCTGCTCATTTCGATTGATAGCAGGCCGGAAAAACGCATGGATACGCGGCGATTATAGTTGGTCCACTGAGCTTTCAATCGGCAACCGCGAGATGAGTGCAGTGCCACCAGGACTTTCACCTATTTTGCCTTATGCACACTCGTGACTCACGCATTGCTGCTTTTATATTTCATTATGGAAACTTCTCAATACATCGCAGCATTTGTTTGCGACGTCGCTTCAAGCTCACGTCCATGACTTCGTTGTCTTCCGTGACTTAAAACCATTTTTACTCGGTACTACCAAAAGAACAATATTATCAGAATATGCATAACCAATACTCATAGAAGAACATTTTTTATTGAATTTAAGTAAGTGACTGAGATGATGGAAAGACGGAGCGGTTTGCCTGAACCAGTTATCCCAGCGGACTACTCCGTAAAATAAACAGCATATCAACAAACGAATGCCTGTGGACGTTCGGAAGACGTCATGACGTGTCACAGATTCCCCATGGATATTAATAGGTCAATCCGCGTCATCTGAGTACAGAACATTCAGGCTAAGCCACTGCGCACTGCAGTGGAACTCCGCAATATCAGGGCATCATCGAGGCAGCCATCAGACCGGCGTGCATCTCAAATAAAAGCACACACCACGAGCTTATTTGCCATGCCCCAGTTTCGTCACATTTACGATCGCTCGCGCTGAACGCTGTCTGCTGGGGGTAAGACGATGGAAAGTAATGGCGGCGCTGACCACGCTTGTCAGCCGAAGCACAGATGCAGAACTGACCGGCGTTACGCCGGATGACCCAGCTGAGTCACTGACTCGAGGTCGGACGCGCAACAGGATTTGAGACCAGCTGACTCTATAGACTGCTCCGATCTTCAAGGCCCGCCCCGCGCTTTCGTGCACGACGCGCTTGGCTTATCGTTGCGCGGAGGGCTGGCAGCAAATGGAAGGTCCCTGGACCTTGTCGGGCGACCGCTCGCAAATTGTTGGTCTCCGGGACTTTATGACCGACGGTAGCTCGGCAATCACTCCCGGATTGATTGCGAAAAATCGGCGTCCTCCCTTCGTGTTCGCTCGTTGAATTCGGCTTCGAGACGTCGAGGTCTTCAAGAGCCCGTTCTAATAAAAGAACCCAGGCTTGAAGAGGTACGCACCGCAGTTATAATGCTGACATTTTCCTCTCCAAGTTTTCGTTTATATATTGTCTGACGCATATTGTGATAATTGGAGTCTATATTGTGTTGACACTGACCCTTGAAGTGCATAATTTATGGTAGTTGGATCGTCACAACGATTTGCTCTATTACAATCTACTTTATGTAATTTGATACCTTTAGGAATAATGCAGGCAATCGCTTTTCTCGTGATATTTGTTGTTAGCAGCTGCTGCGTAGTCCGCAGTCAAGGGACGCGTTTATTCTCAAATACAAAGGAGCAGTCGCGGCACCGCTGAAACAGCACCGCCGAAGCGTTGGAGTGCGAAAATGTGCTGAAGTTCCCACTCGTGCAACAGGCGCAAGGTTAGCGTTGCGAAAACGCGAAGGAGACGATCATCATCCGCGTTTTCGAAGCTCTAGTTTTCCGCCTGCTGCACGGGTGGTAACTTTAGCGCACCCCTGCATTTCATTTATTTCATTTATTCAACCCTTAAAGGCCCAATGGGCATTACATTCCCGCGTGCTTCAAGTCTCTTTTAAATGTACTAAGTAAGTGGCTTTCGATGACACTCAGCAAGTTTCTAAAAGGAATCATACGTTAATTTTTACTACCTACAGAGTGAATGAACAAATTTATTAATTATTCGACTTATTAATGACGGTTATCCCCAATTATACCTCCTCGCGACCGTATAACTCGCCTACACCGACCGCATTAGTGTACCTTTCACGTTTCTTTTTAAAATAAATCTGTTCGAATTAAAACAAGACATCCTGCATAAATTGTTGTTAGAGCGCGTTTCAAAGATGATCCTTTCGAAATCGACAGTCACGGAAGAAATTTCTAACTACAGTCGCCGGCATACCTAAGTCTCCACGACGAAATAAAGAATAAGAAGCTAGATTTATCTGGCTTCGCAGGCGTTGTATCTATGTGCATCCATTTAGTCTTTCTTGTTCGTTATCCACTTCAAAGAAAATTTTCAAAAAAAGCAATCCAAACAGTGCGGTACTGCTTTTTTTTTTCCTTTTCTAGCATATGCTTAGTTAATCCATAGGCCATAGATAGCATATTCTTAGTAAATCCATAGGCCACCGAACCCTGGAGCAAAACTGTACGGGGACGCCTATTGTCGGAACAGAAGTTGCTCAAAGACCCGCCGCCTTCTGCGCCGGACAATGGAATCAGTCGCTGAAGCCAAACGTATTTGTCGGTACCTGGCTGAGGACTTCTAGTACCTGCCCACGTCGAACACATGTCGCGCTTTGCCATCTACCAACAAAGGGTGCGCTAAAGAGGAGGCCACGAGAAGGAGAGAGAAGCGTTGCCCCAGGATCATGCGAGCTCGGTCTTGCACCAGTCGAAACCGAAATTCGCTTTACGAGTAGACTGAGACGGAACACAAAATGGCCGAATTACCGCGGTATTACTTTGAAACGTTCCAGTTATATATATATATATATATATATATATAGATATATATATATATATATATATATATATATATATATATATATATATATATAATAATGAGGTGTTCTTGCACAACCTTCCCATCCAAGTACGTCCTGGCCTCGAGCGTTGCGCTGTGTCTGCTGTGGCCATTAACTCCCGAACTTCACTTTACTCATTCATGGTTGATGATTTGTAACTTGTCGTTGTTGGCACTTTCTTGCCAAAAGCTCTTTTCTTAGTTCGTTTACTATGTGTGCTATTGCTGCCTCTTTTTCTGGTTTCTGTGTAGTTTTCGTCTCCTGTGACATTTGTAAGGTAGATATACTTCGTACTTATACTGTCTTTAAATGAAGCTTTGAGGTGGCATCCCTTAGTTTCCTATAGCAGTACACATGATTCTATCTACGGACGTCCTCAGGTGTCCTAACGTCGTAGAGATGTCCTGGGAGGGTTCACGGGACATCTGTGCCACCTGAGATGCATGAATAAATCTGCCTGATAACGCTATACTATACCAGCGTGTGTCTGATCAGCCACAGTAGAACTTTTCCAAGAAGAGATTGGCGTATGTGCCAGCTGTCTTTCCACCGAACGGCGGAGGCTCGCGTTTACTTTGGTGGAAACGGAGAGGCTTTCTTGAAACAACGTCTTACTTAAAACCACTGATTTCTAGTACTGTTAAGCATAGGGAGCATGAGTGCATTAAGACGCGTTTTTTATATTTCACTCCGCTCGAGCGATATCACTCTCACCACATTCTTTCAGGAGTGTTGATAGTTCGTTTGTTTTTCTCATTTTTTTGTATGTCATTTTCTTCGACTATCAATAAAACGCGCTGAAGGTGAAGACAACCGGATCCCCTTCTTGCTTTCACTGGATACCCACATGGAATAGGAGCGTCGTTCTTTTTTAGGCTAATAAAACACGAAGCGCTATCGGCCAACAGTAGAGAAACAACCTTCTTAGGGCCCGCGCAGTTCAGCGGCACCGGTTGGTCTCAGACACTTTGTTGAGCGGTCACTGACCCTCGAACGGTTGATAGCAATTGGTGTGCTTGTCAAGTGATTGCCTGCTATCATCTTTATTTTTAAAGCAAGATTAGTGTGTATTTGTGCCTAAAAGTGAAGTTAAGAATTTACTAACAAATTTCACCCAAAACTCTTTAGTTACCTGGGACACTTAAACGTTTTCGGCCATGACAAGGAAGTGCGTGATGCTCCGGTGAGCCAAACTTTTAGGCGCTGCGAAAGTAAAACGTGACCGCGTCGTAAGAACATGTATAAGTGAGGAAAGCAGATGCGCCTCTGCTTTTCTTCTCTGTTTTTTCCCACTGCTTCTACCCTTGGTAAATACACTGCTCCACTACAAACACGAGCAAAGCACAATCTACTGGAGCGAGCTCTGCACTTCAAGCGTTCCGAGCAACGAACTTCGTAGAATAAACGACAGGACAAAGCCTCATCAAATAAAAGCTCACCATATCTAGTTTCTTGTAACTGGCACGAAAGGTTCAGCCCGGCGCGAAACGGGCTCGGCTAAACTGAGCGCCTGCATATCAACAGTCGCTCGAGAAATACATTCTTTAAACCAGAAAACAAACAAAAAACAATGGTCAAAGTTTTAGGGGTTATGCTGAGCGCATTT